TTGTAAAGAAATTTTTTTGTCTATGTGGATATTTTAGATGGAGAGAAAACTTTGCTATTATATATAATATAGATTCATCATCCTAGCTAGATGAGTTTAATATAAAGTTCTGCAATATTAGTAAACGGTTTAAAATGAATCGTTTTTTTTTTTAAGTAATCTTATGTTCAGTTGGCTTCAAAATTCAAATTTGATGTTTCGCTTTTTGAGGTTAAAGAATCATTAATTTTTTGAAGGACATCTATATTTAATTTGTTTTATAATCAATTTTTTTTTTTGATGGAACTAAAGATAGAATACCTCCATCTGTTATGTTCTTGCAAATGAATGCCCTGCACTTGTTTTGTTTGCTTGCCATTTTCTGTTATTTATGCTACCAAATATTAGCGTGTAGGTGTGTGTAAATGCATATCGATATCCATAAATAGAAAAGGGAAAAACTAGTTGTAATGTTGTATTGTACACGCAGCAAACTTGCAAGAATCTTGAAAATATGAAAGTAATGAGATTAGAGAGTTACATTGTATGGATAGTTAATGGTTTTCATAGTTGTAATTAATAAGAATCAACTTTTGACTTTACCAACTCTCTTTATGTTCGAGTGGTATTTACAAAATCTGAAAAAGGAGGGTTTTAGCTTAAGGATCATTCTGACTTAATATATAAATAGTCTACATGTTGATATATGAAAGCAATATCATATTGTCAAAGCAATATCAATACACAAGCCAGACAAATAGCTTAAGGATCATCCCTGAGCTGAAAAAAGTCTCATTCTTGCTAAAAAAAGAATGAGAATATGAAAACAATAGCTTAAGGATCATTCTGACTTAATATATAACTAATTAATTATTTTTAGTTATATATAGTTAATATTTTGATTTTTTTTTTTTGTAAATATCGTTAGAATGACTTTTTATTTTTGATAAAATAACCGATCAAAATGCGACACTTGGAAAATGATGTTAGATTCTTCTTTCAAATCTTTCCATGCAAAAACGTAGTCAACTCTCTTAGACCATTCCATAACGGAACAATTCATTGGTTTTTTTCTGACTTCCACGTGTTTTCGAGTTTTGTTTTTAATTGAGATTTATACAAAATTTTGTTTATTTGTAATAAAAATTATACTTTTAGAAAGCTACCTTTAATTTCTTTAATAGTCAAATTTAAAATTTTGACTATATATTTGGTGTAATAAAATATAAAATCTACATGAAGTTGGCTTAATTGGTTAAAAAAGAAACTAGGTTGATTAAAGTAGACTTGAGTTTGTGCATAATGATTAATGAAACACATAAAAACATTGAAATTAAATTATATAATGTTAAAATTTTCATATATAATTGAAACTAAAAAGAATAATAATATATTGGTTGGGAGTTTGACACAAAGAAATCCAAGAGAAAAAACAAAATCATTTGTATAAATAAATTTTTAAAATTGAAATATATTTAAAATTTTAAATATTATCTTAATTGAACTTTTAAAAAATATTTTATATATAATATTAAATTGAATGTCTTTTGTATATGATAAACATAAAATAAATTAACATAATATATTGTTGCATGAGGAGATGGAGAATAACTTATGTTAGGTTTTGTGTGATTATACTACTTTTTGAATATGAAAACCAATAATCAGAACCATTCATGAGATTATTAAGTTAAAAACAAAAAAAAATCCAATAAAAGACGATTCCTTTTTTTATACCCCAAAAGCTCTTTAATGTTTGCGTTACTTGTTCCATTGGTAACCCAAATTAGAAGATAATCAGATGTGGTAAAGAAGGAAGGGTAATTAAGTCATTTACATTGTAGTGGCATCATTTGTAATTTTTAGAACATTAAAGGGTAATTTATACGTCGTACCTCTATATATTGTCGTAACCCTACTTAGTCCCATTGTCCCTTCAT